CGAATGATCAGTAAGTATATCTAGCCGTAAAATATATCGACTTGAATAGAAATTTGCTCTAGCTAACATTTATCACTAAAATATTTTTAACGAAGCTAATTTACTGTGTGATTGGACTAGGTAATATCAAGGTAAATGCTACATGACGTTTTGTTGTGTTGTCATGAACATAAGTCAGATCTTATCAATTATATTTATACTTGGCCTCTTCGATTCAGTGTTAGTTAAATGTTGTTGGGGTTGCTTCAATACCTAAGAATCAACTAGGAATTGATCATTTTGTTATTTTTCCTAAGCTTTTTTCCATTCAGAACTCACTGCAAAAGACATTTTTTATTTTCACCAGGGATACAAACTATACTTCCTATTATTCTGCTAATCTTGTAAGGTGCTAGTTCTTTACACAACCGGCAAAATCATTATTTAGTTAGTTAGTTCGCTTGTTAGTTTGTGGTATCTGTAAAGAGTCTTGAATTACAGTAAATAGAGACAATGAAAAAATCAGTAAATAAAATGGAGAGAGTAAATTTATTTTCCATTAACCGAAAAAAAATGTTTAACTGATGTATTTTACATTGAAATCACACAATACAAAAATTTAAAACTATCGAAAAGCTATCACTGTATATCCATTGTATCAAGTCTTGTTGGAGATGATAGATCCACGAAAATCACTGTGTAACTTTTGTACCGTTTTTGTATTTTACTTATGGAAATTCGAATTCGTCATTTTTTCTCATCAAAAGCATCCATTATTACTTTCAGTTTGTACTTCATATCTGGAAAGATCTTAATTGTGATGGTTTTTGTATCCTCTTTTAATAAGCTATTTTGTGGCGCTTTCCAAGGACATTTCTATAATATATACTTGACACATATGTTGAGTGTTTGTTATTCGTTTTTTCTGGCATCTTGTCGAATTGCCCTGCTAACTCTGAACTTCTTCCTCTAGTTATCTGGGCAGAAGAAAACAGGAATGCTTAACTTCTTCCTGTTATTGTGTTTCTGATAATGGGTTTCTTTCACCAGTACCAAGGCGTTAGCGTAAATATATTCAGTTCTACTTCGTTTATTTCAGCATCTTTCAAAACATGGATACCTTTAAATCTTCAGTTAAACTTCCAAGCAATAGGTTTATATATATTCACTATTATACGGATGCTGTTATGTTTACTTAGTCGATTACCAACCATTTAAAGAGATGTGGACCTAGCATAAGTGTCCATATGAATAACTAATATTTTTGAAAGTACATATACGATTTTAAAGTTATAATATTTCAGCCAGCTATTTATATTAGTTTTAATTTATTCAGTTTAATGTTTTGATTTTTTAGATCCTAGTATAGTTCTCATTAGGTTTAACCATCGTATCATTCACAGAAAAGCATTTTCATCACAGAAATTTTTTTATACTGATTGATATTATGGTAAATATAATTTTAACTGTTATTTCATAAGTGTATTCATCACAGAGTATAGTAACTCGAAAGTCCCCAGAAATAATTGTTAGTTTTGTTAATCGGAGAATAATTTTTATGGTTAGGACTTTATTTCTAAGACCAATTGTTAATAAGTCATAATTGTGCCATAAATGTCAGTCTCAAATACAATTTATTTAGTTTCAGCAATGAATCTACAGGAATTATGACTATTTATAACTTATTACTTGCATACGTTTCAGGTACATCGTCTTGATAAGATGTACTAAAATCCGTAGTCCTAGTACATCTTTCTTTCGAGTATCTGTTGGGGTACTTTTGCATTTATTCAAGATGGCTTCTTTCTGACCAGTATTTAGAAAACGTATAGTTCTAATATTAACTCAGAGACTTTTATACGGTAAATTCAACTTTTGTTTATTTATAGTTGAATAACCATAAGGATTTCGTCATTTTTTAAATGACTTAAGTGCGGTTTTTAGAGTATAGTTGACTTTCTTAATCCTTGCTGGATGGGAATCATTGAAATTACTTATGATTTTCATACTGAAAACGGCTATTGAAACACTACAAATGTTCATAGTTCTATTATTCACGAATAAGTGTGCTCTTGTATCACTTCAAAAGAATTTCTTCAGCTAATGAAACCCTGTCAATTATGTTTTGAGTTTAAAGCTAATAAATGAATTATTATTTTAGTTTAATGAATTTAGGTCTGTTAGTCACAAATGGTCTGTACTTTTTCAACATTAAGTATTTTTCCCTGAGTTATATCACGTAGTTCTATAAATATTTTTTTCAATTCGTCATTATTCATGTTACAAAAGATGTATTTGAAAATTGGCTATTGTTGAATAGTTCTAGGAAGATATACAATAGATTCTCATTTATTAATAAATTTTAGTAATCCTTATCAGTAGATCATCAGAGGTAATGCAATAGGGAAACTCACACGTATACTCAAGCAGGTTACTTGGAATTTTAATATGTATTTCTATCGTAGACACTTAAATGTTGGGAAGTTTTAAATATAAATGGGTAAGAAACGATTCACAACTTTTATTTTAAACAATATGGGCAAAGAATACACTTGTTTTCATTCATTATCTAAAATTGTATCTTCAGATTTTCATGTAATCAAATTGTTAAAAAATTAGAAAAGAAAGAACATGATGATAACTGATGAATCAAAGGAAATTTTTCGATCTAAAATAAATGTATATGAAGTAAGTATAAAACTCCGATGATAATCTGGTAAGGTAGCACCAATAATTAGAAATCAAATGTTCCTAACTAGAGATAGAACAAACTCATTATTTCAACTGACTCTTGTGAACTGATTTCACAGTGTTCTCTGAACGAAAGGTCATAAAAATGATTAGCTATCTTGATTTTATTAGCTGTAAGTTCCACTGTAAAAGCTTAGAGTATTTACAATGAACATTTCTTAATTTAATCTTGAAAACATTTAGATTGATTCGGTGCTTTAAGGCCAAACACAAGGACAACACGATACTGGTTACTGCTTGATGGTCTGCAAGTGGAAATCAATCATAACTTTGTGATAACGTATTGCACTGGACGACACCTGGTCGTGCTCATGTGTAGCAACCGTTTCCCTAACCTTGGGGATATACCTTGATAATGAGTGCTAATCAGGTTCGCGATCTCCTGGCGATTGCCTTCAACCACCAAACATCAACATTATTAAAAGTGTATTCCAAATTATCTACAGTAATTTCTTTTAAAACTCAGTTTTGTCATCTTAAGCAATTATAAGGCATGAAAATGAAAATAATTTTGATTATCCTATCCACAAGACTAGGTTATAATTAGATTCAGCAGTATGAGGAAAAGATAAAAGGGAATTACAAATCTCCACTTTTTTTTAAGGAAATAAATTCAATTTATAAGCATTTTCATTCAAATTGATAGACAATAAATTTTCTCTTGACTATTTAGTCAACCCACTTGATATGAGACATTTTGTGAAAATAACTGATCTTACTTAAAACTTTTACACACCAAATTATTTGATTCATTGACAAAGTGAATAGTAATTTCTACAACAATGTTCTGAAGACACTTGAGATAATACATAGTCGGATATGAAGTCACTATATAAAGCTTCTGCATGTTCAAATAATTAAGATATACTGGTGAATAATATCAGTGAATAGACAAACTGATACTTCTAAGCAGCTTAATTATATTACTTAACAAAAAGAAACTAGCCATCAATAAAAAGTGTGCTTAAAGTGTTTTTCTCAGATAATGTCCAGTTTTATTTTCAGTGACAACCAGTCTACTCGATTTATTTATATCACGAAGAATATGGGTGGTGGTTGAATCTAGTAAGCTTAGCTTAAAACCTCAGAGCGTTATTCGTTTTGAGACAAAATAAAGTGTTTTTATAAGTCCTGTCCGAATTCTAGAAGCAAGGAATTCAGAAGTAGGAATATCTTTCTAATAGATCAAACTATATTATTATTTATCTATGAAAGTTTTTTAGGCTTCATTATGAGAAGAAATGTCAACAATGAATCGTGACTGCGTAAATAATGATAACAACATGTCGCGTAATATTTTGGCAAGACACTTCAGCAAAGAGCCAGTTTATTACCAATAAGCTAATATTGCATCACATTCTAAACAGAGTAAAGTAATTAATTAATATTAGAAATGATTAGGAAATGAGAAATAACTGAAGAGAAAGTGATCTTTTCAGGTGCATAATTTATATATTGGGAATAAATAATGAGCTAAGATCAGATAAGATGAACTTCTCTCAGTCACAGAGTTTATCCTTCATTAAGCCTATGCTGGCAGCTTCCGTAATTTTAAGAAGTTATGGATGAGGAAACTTGGTAGATATAGGCATATTCTGTAAGCAAACTTGAAACCAGTGTTTAGGTTATTTGATCGTTCATAACCCACTAAATATTCAAGAATAGAACTTTTAACATCTTTATTCATGCTATCGTAGAACTAAACTACAATAATATTCCTATAATTAAGTTGAAAATGAACTTTGGCAAAGGCCTGTACACCTTGTAAGTAAATGTACTTAAGAGATAAACAGAAAGGGGAAAGATTCTCTTCTATGGATATAGAAAAACTGTTTTTAGCTCAATGAAAGGTTCGTTACAAAAAGTGCCCTTTTATTTACCGCAGAAAATTAATTCTTAATCATAACAGTAATTTGATTACGTTTATATCCTAAATGCTTAGAAAGAGGTACAAAGTTTCAGTGGTAATGCTGATGAACACAATAATGATTATTTATTATTTCTGTTCTGTTGTTGAACATTGAAATTTCTTAAAAACCTAATTGTAGTAGTCTAAAACTTACAAAACAATTCATGAATATTAACGAAAACAACATCAACTTATCATCGAGCACATTGAATCGAATTAAATGTAACTTAATTGTATTTTATTGATGGTGTGTGTAATTATGAGTTTTTTTAATTTTAAAACTTAGAATTTTATTTACTTTCAATTATTTAATAAGTGAATTTCTGCATATTTTCTTTTATTTTATTATTAATATTTTTAGTGAAAGTAAGTTCATTGTTTATTTAAATGGTTATAACTGTGTGTATGTGGCTGTGCTGTATTAAATGCTGTTTAAATGTTGTATAATATCGTGTTTTACACTTATAAATATATATGTTGTATATATGTATGTTTTATCATTAAACTTACTTAATGATAGTGTTAGTTGTTAATGGATTATCGTTTTCATATGTGAGTTCAACTCAATTGATTTATCTTACAAGCATATTCACTTAAACAAATATATCAACCTTGTAACTATTATCAATTTTTGTCAGTATATCAAAATAACTTGTCTTTTTTTAAATGTTTGTATTTCGCGCGAGGTAATTTACAAATAAACACTTCCATCATAGGTGTATACAAACGTTCAAATAATGCATTTTGTTAGATCAAGTGTCTAACAGAAAATTTTGTTTATAAAAGATTGCTGAATTCTAATTATATGTTCATTCATAGATAATTCGGCTAATAATGAGGACATCAGTTTAAAACATTCAAACAACATATAAACAAATTTTATAGATGATAAGATTATTTTTATGTAAGTTATATTCATTTTATAACAATAGTTTAATAAACCTTTAACTTAAAGTCGGTTGAAGGAAAGAAGAGATTATAACTGTTATTATTTGGATAATAACACAATACATAAAAAACTATGCTCATCAGTTAACCGAAATGTAAATACTTCTGTTACGTTACACAATGTAACCTTATGAATGAAACAAAAAAAGTACAGCTTAACATCATTTATTTTAGAAAAATTCCAGTTAAATATTGAACTTTCATGGTCATCCTTCTAGATATTATTAGCGCAGCAGTTCGCTCCGTCCTACTTAATGGCTGTGAAACATGGCCAGTCAGAGTTGAGGATATTCGTAGGTTACTGGTATTCGATGATGAGTGTTTCCGAAGCATTGCTCGTGTATCATGAGAAAACCGAGTAAGCAATGCTGTCGTTAAGAAACGGGTCCTAGGTAAGGGCGGCAGATCAAGACATGTGTTGCGTATACCCAACAACCGACAGCCTCGTTGAGCTATGCTTTGCAATGTAGGAATAGGTTGGACGAAAGCTAAGGGCGGCCAAGCCGAAACATGGCAGAAATCCGTGAAGTCACTGACAAGTAGACTGAGTCATGTTGGTAGATGTCAACTACCTGGCTGAGGGCCGTTAGGTGATAGTAATCGATGATTAGAGACCCTGAATGACATGGCTCAAAACCGTTTGCAATGGCAAAGGTGCATTCATTTTTTGTGTTCTCTTAAATCCCACCCTTCTGAGTTCCTCATCACTCTTATCTTGTTTTCCTAAATTTATTCCACTAGATTCTACTTCTTGAATTATATCTTCGAACCCTAAAATATCCAATTACCGCTAATACTTCTATTGCATCCACTAATATGGGATTTGAAGTGACAATGGCATCTCTGTGCTAATTTGGTATGGCAGCTTGAACTGATGTATCTACGTAAAAAATTTCTACGTTTTTGTTGACTGACTGGCTGACTTATCAGAAAAAGCAAGCAATATGATGCGTCATATTTATTCTGAGTAAAACTAAATACCATCGGCTGCCAACAAAATCTTTCAGCTAAAACCAACGACTAATCAAAACATAAGTATTGAGTTTAGTGGATTTCCCAGCTAGATTTTATTGTAAGATGCCTGTGTAGTTTATGGAAATCTATAGTCATAAAATACACTAGTAAATTACTGTGTATCTTTTGAAAAATGTATCATTGATTACCGGCCAGTATTCTCATTAGTTGTTGACTTTTTCAAAGCAAAAGATGTCAAACGCCTTTACAGAGAAGAGCAAAGTAAAAGACACGACACAGAATTGCTCAAAAATTGAAAGTAGAGGAAAAACGGATGTCCTCTAATCCATGCACTTTTATGATTATTTGGCTAAAATAAGCCAATGATGTGAAATGAAAATTTTCCAATACCTCCCATCTTAAGACTCTAGTTTCGTTTCTTTACATAGAATATTTAATAAGTCACGTGTTATTAAGGATTACACCAGACATTTAAATAAATTTGAATAACTGCTGTGAATAGCTAAGTAAATTTTTTTTTAATATGTAATATTATTCATGATAAAACTGAGATTTATTTTCATAGTCTGTTATTTCTTCTTAAAATTGACAGCTTTTATCGGAATGCCTAATAGCATGTAAACTAATACATTGAATAGACGTTACTTAGCAACTGATTGTATGTTTTCATAGTTTTCAACATAGTACTAGATAGTTTAAAAGCAATTTTACAATATTTCAATAATGGTAAGAGACATTTATATAACTTCATGATTTTCTGTATGTTATGAATTAAAATTAATCATTGTCAGCAAATATTACTGACAAAATTTATTTGCGATGAACTGTAATAGTTATCTCTTCATTAGAAGTGAGATTCAAACTATGCATAGGAATAATCGAACGATGGAAAGAAACACATTGAATCTACCACAAATGAAGTGATCATTTCTCCCATGCATTACACATCATTATTCACTATTTATAGGATAGAAATTTCTTATTTTAGGATAATGTATGTCGCTGACTAACCTTCATGGTTAAATATGGTCAAAAAACATGAAAAAAGTTGTCCTGTTTCAATTGAGTACTTCCTACCAGTGAATACTTATTGTCTGAATCCAGAAGAGCTTAATATTTTTAATAAATGGATCCTTAAAAATTCAAAACACATTGTCATCAAACTTCAAGTCACATGTGAAATTACTGCACAAAGTAATCTTGTTCCTTTGATCTTTGGGAAAAATCTTCACTGTGCAAAAGAAACTAACAAAAGATCATCATTTTTTCACTGTAGCTTAACTTTAATACTGAAACAGTTTTCTCTCTTCCTTCGAGGCCTTAAAATCTCAAATATGCAGAACTTGATTCTAAATTCGTCAAAACAAGATAGATTTATTTCAAAATAGTAGTCTTTTCTGAATCCGGAGTAAAAACTGACATATTCCATGTCAATACAATATCAAGTGGTGTATGATAAATCAGATCATGATATAAGAATATAGTGGATGAACTCACTTTTGGAGATGTATGTTGGAAATGCTTTAGGCCGAATACTTTAATTCTAATGAAAGAATATATCTTTTAATTATTTATGAATAACTGATCTGTCGTTATAAAGCAAAAATAATTAAGGAATTAAAGATATTCTAAGAAGTGAATTTAAAGAAATTATTTTCATGATGTACAGCTTTTCATCAAAATGATAAAACCAGGTGAAATCTAGAACAGTTTTGTAAAATTCAACTCTATATAAATATATATAACAAAGTGGTTGGTTATTTCATTTATTTGTTTTACATTGATTTTGTCTATAGCTGATGCATTAAAAGATTTATGCCATCATCGAAACAAGCCTTCTTCATCTTGTGATAACCAAACAGATCTTGATCATTTAGAGGTTGAGGAGGATGATTCCACAGCACCAGGAATTCCGCACACACATATCACATCACAAAATTCGCCAACACAAGAAGATCTACAAAAGTTTCATCTTATGCACGCATCACCGTCCGAAGTTGATCTTTCCAACCCAACTTTATCTCAGAAATATAATAATGTACCTGTATTACAAAGTCCCTTAGATGTTAGTATTAGTCAGATTGATGGATCAAATGAAGGAGTAACACGAGGACCGCTACCACCTCCTCCACCAGATCTGTATTCATATATTGATACATTTGATGATATCTACTTTACACATACAAATAATCAAGGGAATTATCCATGGTCTCATAAAGTATATAATAATGCTCCGAAAACAGAATCAACAAATAACTTTCCGGATCATGTTCAACAGCCGCCTCTGGATAGTAAGCAGAAGAGTGATGAGAATACTGTTTGGTCTGAATCATGGATTCCAACAGTACAGGATAAAACAAAAAGTTACAGAACACAACTAGATAAGAAAAATTTAAAAAAAGTGTGATGAACACTTTTATTTTCATCTTTTGCTCCTATTCTCTGTCTAGATATTGATAAAGTATAATGTGGTTTGATAATATCTCATTTTCTCATATTGTAAACAACACTACAGTTTTGTAATTTAATTATAAATTTACTCGAGAAAAAATTTTTTTTATAAGAAAAACAAATCATGCAGCATTTATTTATGCATAATGTTCACACAATTTAATTTCAAATTTTAAAATTGTACTTTTGTACATAAAGGGGTAATCTGAAAAAACACATACAGTATGATTTACTGAATTTTATTTTTCTCCACTTTATATGTTTAATAAATTTTAATTTTTACATCACAAAGAAAGAGTTGATTCTTGTGAAAATGAAAATGCGTCTTATCGGAAATCAAACCACTTTTTTTCAATGAAAAGCTTCTATCCTCCTCCAAAAACGAATTAGATAATAGCCAAACACTAATTGATTTTAATACCTACTTGATCGATTACAGTATAAGGCTAGAATATATTTTAGGTCTAGATAAGTTGTTGCTCTAGTGAAACAAAAATCAGAAGAAAAACACTATTTAGATTATTTATTTTACATACAAATACTACAAAATATTTCGACTTAAGCTCGTTATCTAAAAGTACACTTCCAATGAGCATATCTGGAAAGGAATACAATTAGAGTACATTTACAAGTGAATTTTATATCAGAATTTCATAACTGCCGAGCAGTAATTGATTGAAGGAGAATATTTAACGAACATGAGAAACATATTACTAATAAGTTGAACTGAGCAAGTGTGAGTCTCATTCGATTAAGATGATAATCAAGTTATTGGGACAGAAATAATCCTTATAATGATAACTGGTTAAATTAAATTCGTTTTTATAAACGAAGAAGTAAATACAGGAAAGAAAAGTAATAATTATGTAAATAAAATGAAACTATAGACCAATGCCATGATAAAAAGGAGGTATCTAACAATTTGCTTTGGTGTACACAAGTCAGATTTGAAATTTATGCCACTTGTAACTTCCACTATATAAAGTAGGTTACGACGTACATCTGATATCATTGACTGGATTTTGTCACTGATACGAAATGAATAATTCCACGCTAAATATCATATATGAGTTGCATATTTCAGGACAGATAGTTTAATTGATTTATGTTTACCTTTCCGAAGCCATTCTAGTAGATGCTTCTGAATATGACGAAGACGTGACCTCGTCGAACTTAAGTTATTAAGATTGATGTTCATTTAATCGCAGTGATTTGGATGTAACTTTCACAAACCTGATCGTAATAACCAGAAAAAATAATTCAAACCATTTTAACTCTGCCCTGGGAGTTCGAAGAAGAATTATGACGTCTCGTGATGAAAGCCGAGTTCCCTCGGAAGTCACGGGGCCGATGCCTCCTCTGACAACCAGAGCAACCATTCTTTTAGGTACATGGAAAGTTCGTACATTGTGGGAGACTGGAAGACTATTTCAAGTTGCGGCAGAAATGAAAAGATACAACCTCGAGGTGCTCGGCATCAGTGAAACGCATTGGACACAGGTAGGACAACTGAGACTTGCTTCAGGGGAACTGCTGTTTTACTCTGGTCATGAAGAGGAAAACGCTTCACATACACAAGGAGTTGCACTGATGCTGTCCAAACAAGCACAAAAGGCACTGATAGGACGGGAATCTCATGGACCGAGGATCATCAAAGCATCCTTCAAAACAAAGAAACAGGACATTACAATGAACGTCATCCAATGTTATGCACCTACCAATGACTACAATGACGACGTTAAAGATCAATTCTACGAAAGGCTGCAGTCAATCGTCGAAAAATGTTCACCAAAGGATTTGACGATTCTTATGGGAGACCTGAATGCCAAGGTCGGAATGGACAACACTGGATATGAAGACATCATGGGACGACATGGACTGGGAGAAAGGAACGAAAACGGTGAGAGATTTGCAAACCTATGTGCCTTCAACAAACTGGCCATTGGTGGCACAATATTCCCGCACAAACGCATTCACAAAGCCACATGGATTTCACCGGACCACACTACTCAAAACCAAATTGACCATATCTGTATCAACAAAAAGTTCAGAAGGACCATGGAGGATGTGAGAACCAAGAGAGGAGCTGATATAGCTTCAGATCACCACTTGCTGATCGCCAAAATGAGACTGAAACTAAAGAAGCACTGGACAACGGGGCAGACAACATCACACAAGTTTAATACGGCCTTTCTTCGGGATACTGTAAAACTCAACGAATTCAAGATAGCCCTCACCAATAGGTTCCAGGCCTTTCAGGATCTACTCAATGGAGAGGAAGCAACATTGGAGAACAATTGGAAAGGGATTAAGGAGGCAATCACTTCAACATGTCAGGAGGTCCTTGGTCGCAAGAAGCAGCATCACAAGGAATGGATCTCTGTTGATACTCTTGCAAATGTTGAAGAAAGGAGGAACAAGAAGGCAGCAATCAATGTCAGCTGAACAAGAGCAGAGAAAATTAAGGCACAAGCTGAATACACGGGAGCAAACAGGGAAGTGAAGAAGAGCATCAGAGCTGACAAACGAAAATATGTGGAAGATCTAGCAATGACGGCGGAAAAGGCTGCAAGAGAAGGAAACTTCAGACAATTGTACGAAACAACAAAGAAGCTCGCCGGGAACTATCGTAAACCAGAACGACCAGTGAAAACCAAGGAAGGGAAAATAATCAGCAACACTGACGAACAGCGAAATAGGTGGGTAGAGCACTTTCAGGAACTATTGAATCGACCAGCTCCACTGAACACACCCAACATCGAAGCAGCATCCAAGGACCTCCCAATTAATGTTGGCGCACCTACAATTGAGGAGATCAGTATAGCCATCAGACAAATCAAGAGTGGCAAAGCAGCAGGACCAGACAACATTCTAGCAGAGGCAATGAAAGCTGATGTGGAAGCAACTTCGAAAATATTTCACATTCTCTTCAAGCAGATTTGGGATGAGGAACAAGTACCATCAGATTGGAAAGAAGGATGTCTGATCAAAATACCAAAGAAAGGCGACCTGAGCAAGTGTGAGAACTACAGAAGCATCACTCTTCTTTCAATACCAGGCAAAGTCTTCAACAGGGTATTGTTAAACAGAATGAAGGACTTCGTAGACATCCAACTTCGAGATCAACAGGCCGGATTTCGTAAGGATCGATCGTGTACTGACCAAATTGCTACATTACGGATCATTGTGGAACAATCAATTGAATGGAACTCACCACTCTACATCAACTTCATCGACTACGAGAAAGCATTTGATAGCGTGGATAGGAAAACACTGTGGAGGCTTCTTTGACACTACGGTGTGCCTGAGAAAATAGTTAACATCATACGGAATTCTTATGATGGATTCAACTGCAAAATCGTGCACGGAGGTCAGCTGACAGACTCTTTTGAGGTGAAGACCGGTGTCAGGCAAGGTTGCTTACCCTCACCCTTTCTCTTTCTCCTGGTGATCGACTGCATTATGAAGACGTCATCATCTGGAGGCAAGCACGGTATCAACTGGACAGTTAGCACGCAGCTGGACGATCTGCACTTCGCAGATGACCTGGCTCTTCTATCGCACACGCAACAACAAATCCAAGAGAAGACGACCAGTGTAGCAGCAGCTTCTGCAGCAGTAGGTCTCAACATACATAAAGGAAAAAGCAAAATTCTCCGATGCAACACAACATGCACCAACCAAATCACTCTTGATGGAGATGCTTTCGAGGACGTTAACAACTTTACATATCTGGGCAGCATCATCGACGAGAAAGGTGGATCGGACGCAGATGTGTGGGTGCGGATTGGCAAAGCGAGGGCTGCATTTCTACAGTTGAAAAATATCTGGAACTCCAAACAAATATCAATCAACACCAAAATCAGGATTTTCAATACAAATGTGAAGACAGTTCTACTGTATGGAGAGGAAACATGGAGAACTACCAAAGCCATCATCCAGAAGATACAAGTGTTTATTAACAGTTGTCTACGCAAAATACTTCGTATTCGTTGGCCAGACACCATCAGCAACAACGAACTGTGGGAGAGAACAAACCAGATTCCAGTGGATGAGGAAATCAGGAAGAAGCGGTGGAAGTGGATAGGACATACACTACGAAAAGCACCTAACTGCGTCACGAGACAAGCCCTCACATGGAACCCTCAAGGCAAAAGGAAAAGAGGAAGGCCAAGGAACACACTACGCCGAGAAATAGAGAAAGATATGAGAGGAATGAACAAACATTGGACAGAACTGGAGAGAGAAGCCCAGGACAGAGTTGGTTGGAGAAAACTGGTGAGCGGCCTATGCTCCATTGGGAGTAACAGGCGTAAGTAAGTAAGTATGTATGTATGTCAAAAATTAATTATTAACCTAGTTTGTTTTTAGCTTTCGAATACTTGAAAAAATAGATGACACAAAGTAGTGTACGCCTATTTGTTGTTACTGTTATTAATCTTTTCGATATTTTAGTGGTAATCCTAACTCACACATTAATTCCAAATAATTCTACTCAAGACACAAGTCTATTTTAAAGAAGATTATTTTCAGCACATAAAACCTTGTTATTACCATTTTTCTGCGCTGAAATCAATGACAGTTTGAATAAAGGTAGCTAGAACTCTGATGATTGAGATACATTTAGATCAAAGTGAGAGTTTAGTAAATCTTTATCACTTCATTAACAATGAGAAATATGCATTTATTCAATTAGAACACAATATAATTCCCCTAATTAAAATCAAACATTCGATGATTTGATAAACGTTTAGCCTTAAAAATGACCAAATCTTATAAGCCCAATAAAATTGTTTATTTTCAAGCTAAAAATAAAATCAATTTCTTTGTTCCACCATATATTTTAATCCACTTAAACAAGTCACATCTTTTTTCAATAAACGGTGCATAGTTTAAAAGCATTTTTAAAAAAGTGGATAAATAGTTGACTAAAAATTAAATAATGCATCATTGTCTACGTCCAGGGACAATGAGTTGAACATAAAAAAGTTTTGATGATTTTAGGGGATAATTGATTAATCCAAGTCTCATTTGTTCCTAATCGTATGGAGATATTTTGATTAATCACTAGTCTCATATCACGAAATATTTCTCTTTTTACCACATTCTTATTTATGAGTCTCAAATGAAATATTTCGATGAATGAGAGTTGTTGGAGATATGCTAAACACTAGAAAGAAATGAATGATATTTTTTTTC